GGATCATTACTGAAATATCAATTTTATTGCAATACTGCGTGAGCTTCTCTGTATACATTCCGTTCAGCAAGTTTTATTTTCATAAATAAACCTAAAGGAATATGTTGAGAAAAAACAACTTGAATTGATCGAAAGATGCAAAGAAGACATGACTGAATGAAAAATCTTGATCTCGGAAAGCTGAGACCTAGTTACTAAAAAAATAGCTGTGAAAAAAAAGGAGTTTTTTTCTCGACACAATGAAGACTGGACCTTCTAGGGTTAGAACGTTTCATTAATTTAATATGAAAATAGTTAACTAACAGAGTAAGCAGAAATGGTGCATTTTAATGGATTTTTTGTAATTCAGGACGGTTACTTATTGTGCCTTTCAATAACTCAACAGTAAGTTTGAGGGTTTATAATGCTAAAACTTGAGACTCGACCCCTTATGTAAACGGAGCGCAGATAGCCCATTGTGCAGCTTTGAGCTTGCTTTCGCTATGCTGTTGTGCTGCCACCTTTCAACCGATAACAAAAGCAGTCAAAAATCAGTTAATTCGAATTTATGCTTATATATATATATATATAATGACAGCATGCATCTTAAACGTGATACAAAGTCATTTTTATAGGTTTAGCTAAGAACGCTATATTGTGTTTTTTTAACAACAGTATGCATCTTATAAAGGGATAAACTTTGAACTAAAAAGCCCTAAAATAATAAAAAGTTTTACTTAATTGTTAATGTTTTAATGTTGCTAGCGCTTACAGATACTCTGATGCTGCCAAAATCTTTGTTTTATTTTGAATCTCCTTCTTCAGTCTTCACTACACCAAACACGAGTTCAGGTCACGCATGTGCTCGGTTTTTATGCATTCTTGTTCTCTCGACTGAAGTGTATAGTTTGCGTGGTTTTTGTCTTCTTTCATTGAAATCCGTTGTTTGCGCACTTTTTATACATCCTATCTCTCTCTCTTGATTGATATGTGTTGTCTCAAAGCGCAAGCCGCTCTGTTTATTATGATAACTTTGACACCACTTTGTAACGCTTGTGCTATACTCTTATGTCCATCAACTATATTAAATTGTAATTATTCCTGTCAGGAATTAATTGATACAAATGTAACTATAACAAATTGCTGTTTATTACAATAATTAATAACACTGGTTTAAAACTAGGTTTTGTTTCTTATTTGCACCATATTACTTTCTTCTTTCGCCTCTCTCGGTTTATTTATTCTCTCTCTCGGATCTCTGGGGCTTTTTTTTTCGTTAAACTCCTGTTTTCATATTCCATTCTCGAACTTACGCTGTACAGGTCTTTCTTTTCACCTTGCACGCCTGTTTTCCTCTTATGTCAGATTACAACGATTCATAATCGTAGAGATCCTGTAACTTCCTCACTAGCTGAACAAGAAAGTCGGCCACTCTCTCCAATAGACTTAGAGTGCTGTTATCCCTTTAATCCCTTAATGACTGACCAACCGATATTCTTTATACCTAACTTAATAACATGGTAAGATATAAAATTATACAATCAATTAATCAAATATTGAAAATTAACAATTTAAATCATTTAATACATCTGCTGGTTCTACCAAATATCAACCCCGATAACCTGTTGTAAATAGTTAGCAGACCTCGTAGACATTCTAAACTATTAGCATAAAATACCTGCGCTCTGTTGCAGGGTTCAAATGCTCCTTTCATTAATTTCAGGAGCCTCAATGTACCGATCATGTTCCTCCATTATCCCCATTGCTTCTGTAGTTACCCCTTTAGTGCTTCTTACCCAAAAAACACCACTTTAGGACTTTCATTCGTGGTACCTGAGCACACGTGTCAAGTTTGATCCCGCTATTTTGTGAGTGGGGGTTATGAACACATTTTCAAACATGGCACACCTAAGATCCAGAGGAAGCTAGGAACACAAAATTCGATATGTGACTCACGTTTATCAACTCTGAAAACATATTTCGATATTCTCATCATGTTTGTGTGACTTTCCGAACGCATTTCAGCCTCGCTTGGTAGGGGACTACTCTTTATTAATAAGAACACCCCGAGTCCCTCTAACTGCAAAACAGTGGGAGGAGTTGCGCAGATAAACAAAGAAATAAATTCATACACAAAATGAAATAATATAGGCTCATAATTTAATTTCTTACACGTCTAATTTTTCTTCATTTACTTTATGTAAACTTTCTGTTTTCATACTATTATGTAATCTTTAAATCTAAATGTCTTACAACATACCTGGTGAAAACCTAAATTACCAGTAGCTGGCATTAGTATAGCAAGAAGATAAAATAAAATTTTAGAAAGTTCAATATTTTCTCCAACTTTTTCTGACGCTCTAAATGTGAATATATTTTATTTATGTTAATTAACCGTAAATTTATGTAGTGCAGTTTATAAAAATACATGCCATAAACATTGAAAACAGTATGCCGATTTTAAAACGTGCAAAGCGAGAGTGATCCAAACTCTTCTCAAGTGTTCTATAAAATTTCCATTTAAATCAAACAATTAGATCAAATATAAAGAAAGTCGCATACAAAGTGTGACAAACAAAACCAACGAACAAGACGCTGAAGGATTAATTGTGTTCTGGGAAGATGTACGTCTGTGATAAATATGATCCACGTGATGTTGTCTACGCTGTACTGGAATAATAAGTAAATGTTTACCTAAAAGGATGTTCTAGATAATCATTTAAAGTTTAAATATGCTGCTGATACAGGTTCTGGTCATCATGGATCTTGAAAGTACATTTTAAATCAGAAATAAATTCTGGATTTTTTTGCCTGAACCAAAAAAAATAATAATAAAAGGTTATTGAGAGGTGGGAATTCGTTCTTTTAAAGCTGTAAACTTAGAAAAAATACAAGTTCACACTCCTGTATGTTTGTAAATGTGTGAATTTATAAACACCGTGGGAAGTCATGTAAGTGCTTTGTGAAAATAACTCAAAGTACAACTGTTAATAAAATCACTTATACTAAAATAACTTTATGACTACTATAAAATTCTAAGAACATTTTTTAAGTTTTACTAGTTAATGTTTCACAATTATATCGTAGTTGTGAAATCACTTTTTTTCTGGCAAGGGATGTGAAAGCACATTTTTGGGTCTGTCTTCTCTATAACTATTTCACATCTATAAAAATGTGAAATCAACTTTTTATAGAGTATAGGAGCGTATTCTACCAAATATCTTAAACTTGAATACGCTGTGGTAGGTAGAGATTGAAGGGTAAATTGTATATCATATTTCGTAATAATTAATGTTAGTGATAATGTATGTTCTGAGTAAATATTCACTCATTCTTTTTATGTTCCTGTTTTACCTGGTGCTACTGGACAATGTAAGGTATTTCAGGTGTATAGCATTGTAAGATGGAGCACATGTGTTCTTCTTTATTTGTGCCCCCCCCCCAGTGGCCGAGTGGTATGTCGGCGGACTTACAACGCTAGAAGTCGAGCTTCGATACCTGTGGTGGACAGAGCACAGATAGCCCATTGTGTTGCTTTGTGCTTAACTTCAAACAAATCTTTATTTGTATTTTTTCCTATCTAAATGACTTTTGTATAAAGTGTAAACTTAATAGGAGAGGTATTACTGTGTATGTTCTATTTCACAGATATTACTCTGTATGTTCTATTTCACAGGTATCTCTTTTCAAAGAACATATTTCACATTTTATAGCTCATGCAAAGTTTTTAAAGGTCGAATTTAACGTGTATGTTATATTATATACATCTACAGGTTTGAATTAAAAGTTTCGTGTCACAACTGTTCACGTGGAAGATGTTTCACATGGTCGTACCATGATCACAGCTAGAATATAGTTCAAAATATGGCATAATAATTTTTGAAATTATTATTGATGATGAACATGTTTTATATTCATTTATTAATAGTTTACATATAATGATGATGATGATATATACTAATGGTCAATCATCAAGGTTATTTATGGTAGCCTACAATCAATAGCGTGTTTTGCATCAGAAATATACTCATTTTTATATTAATAGTCCATATTTATTAATGTTTCTAATACTTTTATTGTTCAGAAAGTTCAATAAAGATTTTAAGCAAAACAAATAGGAATTTTGCTATTTTAAAGTTGTTTGATAGTGGAACAACATGGTGTAATATTAATGAAAACGAAAAAGGTGTAATCTTGAACAGATGAAAAACCACTTTTAATTTCGTCGGTATGCACTGCCATTATTAAATGAATTTGGGGTATTTGGTATTTTCATTCTGAACAACGTCTTATGCAACCTATGGACTAAAAGAGGGCCTAAGGTTCGGGCATAGCTAGTTATAGGCTACTGTTCATGGATAGTTCTGATCAGAGGGAGGGAGGGACACTAGTTAGCAGCACCTGCCATATACATTGATACTGAACAACGGGATTAAACTATCACAGTTATATTGCTCTTAAAACTGATTATGTGCCCCCCCCCCCCAGTTCAGCACCATCCACTCAATCCTCGGACATTTTGATCCACAGAACGACGAACAGTTTATCGGTAGTCCACGCCCTGCTAAACACCCGAACACCATTAAAGTTTCTAAATTAATATGTTCTCTTCTCTCCACAAGTAAAGCTTGGTGGATATAAATTTCTCCAGACTAGAAGTAAAGAAATTTGGTGATCTATCAACTGTTTTAGATCATGACTAACGATATCCCAGAGGAGTTGTTGCATGTTTTCTGTTACTCCTCACTCAGGTGATCATAAGCTTATTATCAAAGGAAAAGTCTGTATCTGAGTCTTACAATTATATCGTGAAATTATGGTCTCCATCTTTGATAAAATCAAAAAGTAATAGTAACTAAATATGTCAAACATTTTAAAAATGACTACTGTAAAGCGATTATTCTAAGCATTATTTAGTAACAGATACAAATAAGAATCAGCACTACAAGGTACAATCTGCATGAAATAGCCAGGCTTTATTATTTTCACTGCAGCATACTTAATATGATATGGTTGAAAAGTTTATACATGATCTATATAGCGACATTTTGCACATTAAACATCAACATATTTTGTCACATTTTTGCTCTAAGCTAACTTACGTTTCAACTAAAGTAAAACTTCCCGCAGAATTAAAAACAGCTTCTAACCTCTATACTCTGGACCTTCAAACTTTTGAGAATAACGTTTTGACATATGTGTATTTTCTACCACATCTACCAATATTGAGTGCCCTAAACTTCACTGTGCTTTCTAGTGCCTTGGAAAATAGTCCATAACACTATTTGCTTGAATATGCGTTTCCTTCAGATGGAAGGAAGTTTTATTTTTTAATTCAACTGTGCTTCCTACAAACATTACTACATCAAGCATACGTTTATAAGATACCCTTTAGCTATACTTTTATTACTTCGTGTGAATTTCTAAAACTTCGCTACTTTTAACACATCAGTCGTGAACTTTTCTTAAGCTTCGCTATTTTTAATACATCAATCTTTACACGCGGCACGCCCGCAACTTTCACAATTTTTTACCATAATGAGCAAACTTTTAATCTCCTGGATTTACTATGGTTTCTAATTCTGTTATTCATCAGTAGCTCGAAAAACAGAGCGGCGAGCGCTACCGCATAACCACATAGAAGAAGAACAAAGACGACGCCTACGTCATTCAAAGTTAGAGGTGTCAAATCCCCGCTTTCTTGCAGAGTGGTGGTTTCGAGTTTACAAGGTCCTTGACCCAGAAACTTGAAGAAATACTTCCTTTCCCAAAACAGCACCAGACCGGCTTCAGTAAGTCTTGTTATCCTATACAAAAATAATGGCTTTTTTTATGTGAAATTTTAATTTTACAGACATATTCAAAGAGTTCTAATAAACGTTTTTAACAAAAATACATCAAGATAACTTAAAATTTCAAACTTTTTAAAATTGGTTTTGATTTTAAGATTATAATTGTAAAAAAAAAAACTTTAAGGGATATATATTCTAATATGTCATAAAATATGTTGTCGCATGCATTAATAACCATCCGTTCTGATATTTTAGATCATGGCTAACGGTATCCCGGTACAATAAAGACCCTGAAGTGCATACTGGATGTAGACATTTTGGGAATAAAGTTTGAAAAAGAAAACCGACCTTTAATCTCTGGGTAACATGTTTGTTTGTTTGTAATTAAGCACAAAGCTACACAATGGGCTATCTGTGCTCTGCCCACCACGGGTGTCGAAACCCAGATTCTAGCGTTGTAAGTCCGCAGACAAGCCACTGTGCCACTGGGGGGCCTCTTGATATCAAGAAAAACTTTTTGTTTCAGTCAATTTGTTCTTGTACTATGTAGCTCATATGAAACCGTAATGGCGAAATGTTTTTTGTTTTTATTATTGTTATGCCTCCAGTCGTTAATTGATTTTCCGTAAATTCGTTCTGACGAAACTTTAGCGACACAAGTCCTTACTTAATAAAACTGGTTTATTCTTTCCGAATATAACTTTACGATACACTCAACTTCAACAGTCGCGCTATAACAAACTATAATAACGACGTTAACTTCAACAATACTTTCTTACTGCAGATCAATTACTCACTGTCTACACACATCTTATTCCGTCACGTTGTCACCCTCTTATATATATACCAGACTATCCTATATCTAGTAATCTCCCGACTATTCCCGAAGGTTCGAGAGGTGGCGTGACACTAGTCACGTGACCTCGCTGACGCTACATTATTATTATCTGGAGAGTAAAGGTAATTTCTTTCAAGTTATATATTATAGTCTGTAAAGTTTTGTGAAGCCAACATGTAAAAGGAAAAACCATCATCAACAAATCCAGATTTATAATTGAATTTTCTAGGAGAAGCACCTAGTTTCTCTGTGAATAGTTTCCCTGTATAACCAGTAACAGAATTAAATAAAACAGTATATTTCAAGTATCTAACTCCCAATTCATAAGTTTCGACGATAGATTCTGAAACACTGATATTAACATCTTAATAAAACACAAACGGAGTTACTAAAGCAATTAATGTCGTGAACCCTTTAAAAGTAAAACACTTTAACTAAATCAATTTTAAATGTTGATTAAACATAAATGCTAGAAGTAAAACATCAAACTGCCATCTTTTGGTAAAACGCCAAAGTTACAATTAATGACCTTGAAATTCTCGATATCAGAGTAAATGGTTAGATTTTAACACTTTAAGTTAATGTATATGAAATAAGATAATAATTTTTTGAGAAACTGTTATTAATGCTCTTTCTAGCGCAAAGCTACACCATGGACTATTTATGCTCAGTCCACGGCAGGGAATCGAGCTCCGGTTTTTTTTTGTTTTTGTTTTTTTTTGCGTTTCGAGCATGTAAGCACCGGGAGACTTTTGAGAAACACTGTGTATGATGACTTTGGGCATTACATAATATAAATGGGATGATGTTTTTTGAATAGGTATTTTCTGCTTCCAATCAAACAACAATGTTCCCAATATTTATTATTTAATAAAACAACAATTGTAAGTTAGTTTAAGCTTCTTTCTTTTCGCGGTATCACATTACCTTTTATTCGTGAATTGTTTATAGTTGATCTTACTTTTGTTTGTTTGTAGCTATACACAAAGCTACACAATAGACTATCTGTGTTCTGCCCATCAAGGGTCTCAAAACCCGGTTTCTAGCGTTGTAAGTCCGCAGACATACCGCTGTGCTACTGGAGAGTTATTTTGTGTGTGTGTGTGTTGAGACATACTTATAAACTACATTAGTGCAGGCAGTTGGCCTAAAGTTAATATTGCTTTTACTTAACGTTGGCTTATTCGATGAAAACACCATGTTAAATTATCGAGTGCGAGAATATTTTTTTTTGTCTAAAGCTTTGTCACACTAGATGGCATAACTTTGCAAAAATACTTTCCCATTGGAGGACAAATAAAGATGCCAACGAAACAAGTTGTTTCTAGTTAAAAAACAGTGGAGTACATTCAAAGACACATAATTAGGCTTTAATACTAGAAAATGTTGAATTTCAACATAAGATGATTAAGTAATAAGAGTAAGTATAATAATAATAATAATAACAAAATATATACATAATTAGTGTTAAAGTAAATATCAATAAATAATACTGCGTTATTAATTCTTGAAATAATCTGGTTTGTAAACGAATTAAATAAAATTGATAATCATTATAATTCATTTACACAATCTGGTTCACACTATAACAGTCGTGGTTCATGAAAATTTGTTATATATAATTAATTGTAATATTGCGTAGAAAATGAAAGAAACAACGCAGCTACAAAACAGACATGTACCACTTCGTCCCACACCATAAGATGGGTAGTTATGCAATGTGCAATATAAATTTAAGTAATGATAATTGTAAATTTGAAAATAGTAGTATAAACGAAATCATAATAAACACAATAAGTAATAATTTCTAATTTTTGTTTGGGAAATTATTGGAATTACTTATTTGGACTGTATCTTGTATAAGTGTATTAATGTAGATTTATCACTTTCTCTAGATAACACCTGCTACTATGTTATTCTTATAGAACCTTTGAAGATCTTGACAATTGCATGGATGGATGGGTGGAGGATGGGAGCTGTACTAACAGTTTAGGTTGGACTTGTATAGTAATACCTTAACATCATGGTATTTATGTCTAAACATCATTATGGGGGTGGAATGCTAACTTCAAGGATAGTTTTACTGTCTCCCCCATTGATGTATGTATTCCAATTATTTATTTCTTCTTTAATATTTTTTGAGCGCCCACCTCCCCCTCCCCCCCACACGAAAGACAGCGAAAGGTTGTAAAGATGTGGGACATTGCGGGCTAGATCATCCACATCTGCTCTTTATAGTTATTATTAAGAATGTGAAGTTAAACTGGATAGACAGTGTACCCCCAACGCAATTTTCGTCTTATTTCCGCCAGTACCTCAAAAACCAGGATACCTTGCATAACTACCCACTTTATGGTGTGTACCCAGATGGTACATGTCGCTTTTGTAGCTGCGTTGTTTCTTTTTTCTTTCATTTTCTACGCTATGTATATACATAATTAAAAAATATATATATAGCTATGTCCAACGTATCTCTGCCAGCATGATGAGCCCTGATAGTGGGCGAAAAGTCTCATTGAGACAGAGTATGGTGGATGTAATGTAGATGACATTATTCTCCTTTGCTTTTCTTGAACATTCTTAGAAGTTCTAGACATTAAACTTCAAATTAATTACATGGACGTATTTTGTGATGCTTAAAAAGTAAGAAGTATTTTTATGATATTTCAGCTTTAGGACGCATTTGTATCATACTGTAAAATTAGGACGTTTGTTTATGATATTTGAAATTTAAGACGTATTTTAATGATACTTTATCTGCTATTTGTCTTGAATCAACATACCCTTCATTTAATGGTAGTATCAACGGACTTGCTTTTTGAAGTCCGAAGCACAAGTATTCCTCCCTCATTCGTTCTGTAGAGACGTGCAAGGGGCAGTTGCTAATTCCCTTGAACAAATACTGAGAGAAGAAACTTAACCAGAGACGCTCGCCCAGAAAGATGTGACCATTTGTAGCCTCTATAAAGTAGTCATTGATTTTAACGTTATCTCCCAGATTGTTCTCTAGACTCCGTTTCCATGCTTCTCGGTAAGCTTCATAATTAGATTCCTGAAAATTATAAGATAAAAATAAAATAAATATTACGATGGAAACAGTAGAACTAAACTTGGATAACTCTATTATTTTAAACTATGAAGTACAGTTGAGATGGTATTATTACCATGTTTTCACACCTATGTGTGTGTGTGTGTTTGTCAGCATGATTTCTCGAAAACGGCTGAATAGATTTGGACGAAAGTTGGTATACATTTGGACTATGACCCAAATTAGAAGTGCTTAGTTGTTGGATATGGTCAAAATCCTAGCAAGGTCACGAAAATAATATATATATATCCCTATCTGTTAACGTGGGAACCGATTTTTCACTTTTGCTCTACAACTAAATCGGATTTTGATTAAAGTTGGTAGCCCTATGTAGAATGTTATTCCTCATTGTTCTACCAAAAATGGTCCGTTTTCGTTTATAATGACTGACATATGGACAGATTTTTGTATTTTTTGAGGGCCGAATATGATCAACGCTGCATGGCGGGGGTATGCCCTCTACTGAGTGCCCCTCTAGTATAACAATGTATTTTCCTAGCAGCTGGCTTCTATTTCAACTAATTCTTACTTTCGATGACGAGGAACCCACTTTGAGACTAATACCCATATTACCCATTCAAGCCGTCTCCAGCCATTATTAATTCTTACTTTACTATTCTAGATTTGAATATTAGCCTGAAAGATCAAATAAAGTTACTTTTGTGTTTTTCTAATTAAGATACAGTTAAAATATTGCGTTTTTTTTATTACGTTTTTGGTACATTTTTTGCTTTTCTATTGTAGCTTATTAACCTTCAACACATGAAATTTATAAGCCTTGGATTTACATAACTTTATAAAAACATTTTACTGCCTAGTGTCTGACTCAACATTTAGTTAACAAATCAAAATGAAGGATAACGAAAGTTTGCCTTTGGTATCCTCGAACTATATGTTAGTTAAAAACTGAATATTCAACTTGTGTTAATTTACTTCCTTATGCACACGTATGTACATAAGGAAGTCTTAATGTTATACTTTTCATTCAGCTTTATATATTAAAATTAACTGTTTAATATTTATGCATACAGAGACTTAAAAATACTTTGAAATTTAGTTTATATTTAGTATATTCAGTGGTTAAGGTAGGGCAGCATGCACTGACTGGTGTGCATATCAATAAGGAAAAAAATGTGGTATGAAATACCGGGAAAAATGTTGTACTGCTGCAAAACGCCCCACATACACCTATTTGGATTGGAACGAAAACATGTTTAGCTTCAGTGTCTCTGCAACTAGAGCACGAGAATGTTTCACATCAGGTCAAACATCATCCCTTCCCCAAATGTGCATACGGGCACCTTTTCCAAACCACTTTAAACAGTGATTATGAAAAGATCTTATTTGGGAAAATATATATATATATAGACACACACAATATAAATATTGAAGGATTTAATAAACTGTACCTTTAAAAATGACGACATTGAAGAACCTGGAAAGTACAAAAAATGTGCGTCTGTTTTAAGAGCGTCGTCAATGGTTTCAATGGGACGTCGTCTCTCTATAAAGCTGAGAAAAGCCCGGATGTTACCACAGTAAACACTGAGGATAACAATACAGATGCACAACCAAGACGCAAACGAGATGCGTGTAGCTATCACTTTGGGTACAGACTGAGCACCTGTAATTTCAACACGGTTAAAAAAAAACTCACTCAAATCTTAGATCGTTATTTCCTAGAAAGTAGTAGATGCAATGTACGCACGTGTACAGAAATATATCCTAAAATTTCTAGCCATTAGATACAGTATACAAAGGTCAAATATAAAATGTTATGCGAGTCAAATAATCTGAAAAGAAGTGTATTCAATTTAGAGCTTGAAGGTGCAATGTAAAATGTGACCATCAGAATGTGAGGCATTTTTTACACTAGCGGTAAATTCAAATATCTGTTGTTGTTTTTCCTTTGCACACTAAGAAACGGTTTTTGAACATTATAAATGCTATTGTGATTGTTAATATGACACTCCTGTAATGACCCCCCCCCCCAGTGGCACAGCGGTATGTCTGCGGACGTACAATGCTAAAATCCGGGTTTCGATACCCGTGGTGGGCACAGCACAGATAGCCCATTGTGTAGCTTTGTGCTTAATTACAAACAAATCAATCACTCCTGTACAGTTAGAAATTCCCAACGTCAATAGGACGTAACGCCACACTTGAAATTTCTTTAGTTAAACTGCTTGAAATCGGCACTTCTAACAAAAAATGTCAATAAACTAATCCCAAGAATTAGAAGCTGAGTGGTACAGCTTAATGGCCAGTAAAGTAAAACCTGGGGTTTATGTTTCTTAAGGCTTTAATTGGCTATAACCCGTGGTCTTCAGAGAGAGAGTCACGGGTTTGAATCCTACCTCGTTTCACTTCTTTAGAAAAACTGTACAACTGACCAGATTATATGAACTAAAGTGTATAGCTTTATCACCTAATTGCTCGTTTGTTTGAATTTATGCACAAAGCTACACAATGGGCTATCTGTGCTCTGCCCACCTCGAGTATCGAAACCCGGTTTCTAGCGTTGTAAGTCCGCAGACATACCGCTGTGCCACAGGGGGGCACCTAACTGCATTAAAATAAAATATGAACTTTCGTATTTATCTAATAAATAAATTTCGATAACATGTATACTTATACATCAGTTTATTTTGTTTATAACAAAAAATAATTTGTTTTGTTTGAAGTTAAGCACAAAACAACACAATGGGCTATCTGTACTCCGCCCACCACGAGTATCGAAATCCGGATTCTAGCGTTGTAAGTCCGCAGATATACCGTATGCCACTGGGGGGGTGGGCAGAAAATAAACTATGTTGAAGATTCATAACGCTCACGCAAATCACACAGTGTTTTCATGTAGCTCGACTGGCTTTATTGTACATATGGTATATATTTACCAAAATAAATACGTTTTGTACCCGATATAATTAGGCTAGTTAAATGTAACAAAAAATTGTGTGTAATATCAATTGACAAAAATATGGCAGCAATATGACCTCAAAAGCGAGATTAAAACAACAAATATTATAGAAAAAGCAGAAACTATTCTTACCTTGATACATTCCACTTCCTAATGTTGCCCAAAATGACCAATTTACCATAACTTGTAAAGGTGTTTTGGAATAATGAATTTTTCGTGCATAAAACCACCAGGTGGCGGCCGTAATGACTCCTGACACCAAGCCAGCAAAAATATACAAACTCCAAAGCTGTTGAAAATATTACAATTATACTTAGATGTCACATCCATACTGTGTTAAACTGAAAAATGTACGATTTGTCAGTATGCTGTACCTTTTAACATCTTGTGGTTTCTAAAATCAAATTCATTATTAAGTTAATTGCTTTATTTTAACAATTACAGGTTTTAATGAAACTTTGTCGAATGGACGGCAACTGTGTCGAACTGCGAATTCAAGGGTCCAAGAATTTCGTATTGAGGATCGTGGGTACGTTATAAAATTGTTGCTGTAGTTTATTGTTTCTTGAATTTCACACAAAGATACTCGAGGGCTTTTCTCACTAGTCGACCCTAACTTTCAAGTGATAAACTAAATGGGAAGCAGCTAGTTAACACTACTCACCGTCAACTCGTGGGCTACTCTAATTGAATAGTGGAATTTGACCGTCACCCTTATAATGCACGCACGGCCCCAAAGTATTGAGTGCGATTATGTTTATCACTTGGCGCTAACTGTCTGGTGTGTAAATTACTGGGCCGCGCTTGACCCGCGCTATAACAGTGACTGCCAAATCTCTTTATTCGATTAGAGTAGCCCAATAATTGGCGTAGGGCGCTTTTGACTAGGTGTTTTCTCTTAGTCTGCATGATCAAAATTCGTGACGGCTAGCGCAGATAATTCTTAAGTAGCTCTACGTGAATATCCAAAACAAACAAATACACACAGCGTGGTCACAAGTAAATAGACACCACCTTTCAGAAAAAATGAAAATTTTTAGTCATATTCACATGAATTGATACATTTATAATTTAATTAATATCTAGTAGATCTTCCTTTCGCTTCGTGGTGTTCGTTGATCCTTTGGGGCATCGTGAGAATCATCTTGTCTATTTTAGATTTGGGATTGTCGCCCACTCTTGCTTCAAAACTTGGAGTAGATCGCTCTTCGAAGTTGTTTGTTTTTTGTTGTTATTTCTTGACTTGCCGGTCGAGTATGGCCCAGA